CAGGTGACTTTCAGGTTTTTGTGGTAGATGCAGTGGTAGACCCAACCCAAGCTGCTCTGCCAGCACCATCACAAATCAGACTTAAGATTCTCAGCTGTAGCTACGCCTTTCTAAAATTGATCATGATGTTAAACAATAACAACATATTTCTTCCTTGTCTTGTGAGAATTTTAAATAATAATAGCCTTTTGCTGTTCAGGTGTTGTCTGAATGGAGAAAGATGGAGATCGATTGATCAATTGGTCGATTGATCGGTCGGTCGGTCGGTCGGTCGGTCGGTCGGTCGGGTTGGTTGGTTGGTTGGTTGGTTGGACACTAGATGGTGTGGTATAAGAATTACATTTTTATACCACACCATCTAGTGACTTTGCCATACTCTGGTTAGTTTACAGCAAGAGAATAAACATTTTTTTAAAAAGTCAAATCCCACTGAACTCACAAATGTAAAAATATAAAAATATAATAATATATTTTAAAAAACCCACATACCTTTTATTAGGGAACCTGTTATTTAGGGAATGCTGATCAAGCACCATGCAAATGCTAGTAACATCACAGAGAAATCTGTTTTGAGTGGATCAATTGCACATGAGCAAAAGATCAGGTGCTAGCATTGTTTGTTACACTGCAGAGGATCTTTCCTGGGGGACCTCTCCCAGATCTGGCAGAGCTTGTAAGCAGCAAAATGTCCTGGCTTGTCATTTCTGCTGCCATTGCCACAGATCTCTAGCATGGGACTTCTGGTCTATTAGTTCTGTGCTGAGAAACCAGAAGAGTTAATTGACTCTACATTTGCAGCTTCCTGCTAATTAAGAAGAAATATAAGTAGGCTAGGCAAAAGGTTATGTAAATGTCTGAGAGAGGGTGTAAATCTCTGGCTGAGGCAGGCTAAGGATCGATTTGCACGTCCAATTCTGGTGAGCAAAGATGTGTGTTCAGTGCATCTGTGATGAGCAGGGGACTGTACTGCAAAGTGAAGGAGTCTTTTACTTCATTATATGTCTACAACTCAGCACTGGGTTGCTCTTGAGGCACAGCTTATTCAGGTTGTATTTTCAAGCACAACACTTAAGAAGATATGTTCCCTTTATGTTCCCTTTCGTATTACTCATTTAGTTAGCAGTATTACACAGTGTGTCTTTTCTACTAGTGAAGAATCCATGCAGACATCTGGGACTGAACAAGAGCACTTCCAGAGTGGACTGTGTGATTCTCATGTAGATTGCATACTTACATACATATGTCTCTAGCAACCTGTGAATCAGAGCTTGGAAAAGTTACCTTTTTGTACTGTTACTCCCAGAATCTTACATTCTGGAAGGTATCCTCCATAAGATTAACTTTTCCAAGCTCTGCCTTCAATGGTAGAGATTTTGCTAAAGCACTTTGGATGTGGATTGAATTTTGAATTGCAGATGAATCAAGCCAGTGATACTATCAGCTCAACCCACATCCAGCGCCCTGGATGTGTATAGGGAGCCTCAATGGACACATTTATATAGCTGCATAAGAGTATGTATTTATTTATTGAATTTGTACCCCGCCCATTTAGTCAATTGGCTACTCTGGGTGGCTAACAACATATAAAATAAACAATTTAAAATATAGAACAAGTAATACAGCTCTATATATCCTCATGATAGGTTTTCTGATGGTTACATACAGAAACCTGGCTGCTACCTCTTCCTTATTCAAAAATCTTCTAGGTCTGGACAAAAAGAGAAACAGCACTTGTATTGTTTGAAAGTTCCTAAAAGGTGGGATGGAAAGGAAGCACTACAGAGCTTATGTGTTTGTTACATGCTGTCACTTTACATCTGACCAATGACAATTCAAATAAGGTTTTCGAGGTATGGGAGGCATGTAAGGAGGAGATATGTAACCAGTGCCGCCTTGGCCTATGGCCTAACAAGGGTTTGGACCCCACTCTCCTGAATCCTATTTATTTTTATTTATTTTATTCATTGTATTTATACCCCGCCTATCTAGTCATTTCGACCACTCTATGCGGCTTACAACATAAAGGATAACAACTTCAAGAAAAATGTATAACAATATATTCGCGAAGGCTTTCACAGCCGGGATCTAATGGTTGTTCTGGATTTTTCGGGCTCTTTGGCCGTGTTCTGAAGGTTGTTCTTCCTGACGTTTCGCCAGTCTCTCTGGCCGGCATCT